GAGAATTAGAGAGAGAGAGAGAGAGAGAGAGAGAGAGAGAGAGAGAGAGAGAGAGAGAGAGAGAGAGAGAGAGAGAGAGAGAGTGTCAAAGAGAACGTGAGAGATTGAGAAAAGTAGTCAGAGAAAAGAGATAAACGAGAAATGGAGAGTGTTTTGGGGAAGGTGGAGGGAAGAAGTTCGAATGAATTTGGCAGTTTTTGAGATTTTGTAGAGGCGGTATTGGGGTGGAAGTGGAGAACAGAAGTAAAAATAATAAACTCTTAATGGTCTTCCTTTACATAGTAAGTGCAATAGCAGGCTAATATGCCGGATGATAATAATATATAACATTTCGTTAAGACGTTTCTATGCACTGTAAACAACAATAAAAGTAACAATAGAAATTAGCAGCCTTTGTAATTGCAATACCTCTTAGTAGGTAACAGAAGCAAAGCATTCCGTGCTTGTTCAATGAAAAAGCGTGACATTATGAAATCTTTTCGATTTTATCCAAACTTTGATATTTTAATTTATCTCAAAACGTTGTCAAACATAATAATATTATGTAGTCCTATAATTACCAGTATTGTGAAAAGATTGGAGCAACCAAGATAATGCAGTTTATCCCAATGATATTTAGAATGTATAGTATTTATAGTTATAGAGCAACAAAGGAAAGAGATCTGTGCCAAGATATTTGGTTTATCCTTCATAGTAAAATCGTAGTGCCATCAAAAATTCGTGTCGCAACTTATTGTCATGTATTTCTTAAACTGTTGAACGTGCACTCTTCATTTTATTCACAATGACTTATTTCATTTTGTATTAACGGATCAACATTTTTGTAAACACGTGTTAGTTGTATTATAGAAAATTCCTCAAGAAATACTTATAGAACATCTCATTGGGTGGTTTCTACAGATTTTGAAAGGTTTACAGCTGGGGCAACATCGCTTTTAAAAGTAAGTCTGCCATAAAAACCCCACCCAAATGTGACACTATCGTTAATGAACGCATGTTTTGAGAAGAAAAGAATTTTACAAATCTAGCCTCAATTTTTGTGGGAAATTATGATTAAGTTAAGACAAACTGATGCAAACTGCTCTGCAAAGTTTGGCTGACCTTGTTTCACCTCAGATATTTGATGATAAGTTGCGCCACGAATTTTTGACCCGCACCACAGTATACGTATAAAAATATTATTTGGAAGACGAGCCAACGCTGCAGAGTTTCAGGGATGACCTTGACCTTGACCAGCAATGATTTATTTATAGAGGCACCAGCATCCATGTCCAAGTGCTGTTTTAGCCTTTTTTCCTGTCTGCGGATTAATTATCTTTTTTGTCAATATATTGGTTCCGCTTCTATGTACCCCATTTCTATGGTTCTCAACCTGGAAATCGCCTATAATTCGGTGTAAATGCCCCCCCCCCCCT